TGCATATTGTGCAATTTGCTGTTGTAGTTATTTATCTCCCTAATCCAGGTGTCGATGGGTCTTTATATCTGTCATTAAAATAAGAGGCTTTTTTGGTGATGTATGGGTCATGCTGTCGTTGGTATTATAATTGTTTTCATTTTCATTTGTGAACTCTTAAAAAACACGGTCACAATATTTACAATATTAAAGAATAAACTAGCGCTATGTCCGTACAAAGTACAACAGTTAATCCACAAAGCCAAAGACTGTAAATGCTTATGAGTGCGATGCATTTAAGTTACATACTTAAGACGCATCACTCCTGAGTGATGCAACTATGGATAGGTAATTCATTATTATAAACCTCAATCAGGGCGCCAACATCAGAAACGGGGGGGGGCAGCAATAGTGACTAGGAAAGGCACAAACTCTATGCCTTTATCCACTTGAGGTTAAAAACGATGTTGCTCACCGCCTTACTTTTTGAGGTACCTTATAGGTTTCACACTTTCCCTCGACTTTTCCCACCCACCTCCTCAAACCCGGACCTTTTAAGTCCAGGCGAAGGATTTCCTGGGACATTCCAGATAGACTTGGACGGTCGGTCACCCTTCCTCCGTCTCCCTTTTCCACTCGTTTCAGTTTTCTCTTTCAGTCTCCCCCCTCCTTCATTCTTCCCTCGTCTCAGACCTCGTTCTGTCACTCTCAGTCCTCCTCTGTCTCCTCTTTTTCCCTTAGTCTCCGTTCTCTGTTTCTCAGATTCTCCATTATTTGTGCCTCAGTCTCCTCTTCCCTGTCTTAATTTTCCTTTTTTCATCAGTCGGTCCCTGCAACATATTACTGTAGTTGTAATTTCCCTTAGGCGATTCCTTCTCATTGTTTTTAGCATAATTATTGGTTTATGACACCTCTCCGCCCCCCTTGAACTCGGCCATCACTTCTGCCCCTCGGTCCCACGGTGGAATCCTCCGGTGTAGGGTTGTACCATTACCAGCACTTTTAAGTAGAATCCCTTACAAAAGGATTGCACCATTCCAAAGTCCTTTTTCCCCAGTAAAGGACTGTACTACTGCAACTTCTTCCCCAATCCTCCTGCAAAAGCTCTCTGCAAAACTTCGCACCTCTCTGGTTTGTATAATCCTCCTTTCCTTCATCTTGCCTCTTCCCCTCGCTGCCGCGGTGGCACGGTCCAAACTCAGGTTAGGAATAAACCAAATTCCTCCGCGTGTACGGACCTGACCGGACTCTCAATATGGCGGCTCCTACAAAGAGACACAGTGCCTGAGAGCCGCCATCTTGCCTAGTGAACAAAGCCGCCGAGGGTGCGGAGTGGGCCGAACCGCTCTGTACGGCTCGGCGCATGCTCGGGAGCCCCGTACTGTGCTCTCCCAGCCAGGAAGCGGGAGAGTTCTTCAATCCACGTTAATCTGTGACAGCTGTCGGGGGTTATGCTGGGACGGACGTTTCGGGACCTGATAATCAAGCTGGGGGTCAGAAGGGGAATTTATGGGTTCATTCATGAGGAAGTCTGGCATTGATTTTGGGGCGGAGGTCAGTAATTGGAGGTCTGTGAAGACTGATGGGAAGTCTGTGGGATGAATGTTGGGTACGTACAGGGGTCAGTAAAACAGGGAGAGCTGTATGATCTGTGGGTCAGGGATGGCAGGTCTGTGCACTGTTGGAGCATCCGTGTGGCCAGTGATTTGTGGACATGTATGGCCAGTCGTGTGATCGGGGTTCCGTGCAGGTGTTCTTTGGGATTTGGGATTTCTGCACCTGGTGATTCAGTGATTTGTAGGGGGTTTTAATGCAGCCAGGGACTGATAAAGGTCAGCTCTAGTTTAGTGGGAAAGGCCTCACTTTACAATTTCTGCAGGTCAGAGGCCGCCCCCAAGTTGAAGCCCCTCCTCAGATGTTTTCTCAAACCTCCATCTCCCTCCATCACTCACATCCTCACAGAAAACATTCTTTGAACGTAAGACCAAACGAATCTGAAGGAATAACATTATTATTGTCAATTCTCTCTAGCCAAAGACCACCAGGAACACCTTGAGTTGAATAAGTTGGGTATATGGCTCCAGCATCTAGTTGGGAACATGCACATCATGGGGAAAGTGGGGGCTTCTCGTAAGAGGGTGTTAGAACTTAGAGGATTTCTCCTTGTGTTAGGTGATTTTGAGGAGGGCCTAAGGGGGTGGACCTTGCTTTGAATTGGATGTTGTGAGGAAGTGGGGTAATTGGGTGATGGGGGATTTCAATAAATCTAGAGTGAGGAGACTACCCTGAAGCTAAAGCTGTAATAGGTAAGGAAGTCGCAGTCCCTCATGTTAACTCAGAGAGGGGGTGTTTTGTGGATTGGACAATGTTGATGTTTTGTCTGTGTTCAGACATGATTTCAGAGAGGTCTTGTTTTTGTCTTATTCTGTCGTGGTCACAGAGTGGCCTTGTCTGATGTTGATGTTCTATGTAATTATGTTAAATAGGAGAATTTGAGTGCCAGGCCAGCTCTGAAATGTGAGGGTTGCTTTTCTTCTTCTTCTTCGTCTTCTTCTTTTTCTTCTTCTTCTTCTTTTTTTTTTAAAGATTTCATTTATTTGACAGAGAGAGACACAGCAAGAGAGGGAACACAAGCAGGGGGAGTGGGAGAGGGAGAAGCAGGTTTCCTGAGGAGCAGGGAGCCCGATGTGAGGCTCGATCCCAAGACCCTGGGATCATGACCTGAGCCGAAGGCAGACGCCCAATGACTGAGCCACCCAGGCGCCCATTTTTCTTCTTATGTGAGGTGTGATTTCAGTCCCCCATCTTCCTGTTTACTGAAATTGTTCTACATTCTGTTCAGCAAACATTTATTAAACACCTGCTTTTTACTTATTTCAGAGCTCGGTGTCTAGAGAGGAGCATGACTCTTCGATTGTTTTCTTCCAGGTTTATTTTGACAAAGCCTGGGATAACCCCATAGGAAACAGTCTACCTTTCATGGGAGTACTCACTTCTGTGAGTGAGTGCAGCCTTCTCTGTGTGACCCATCCTGGGACTGAGAAGAATTTACCAGGTATGTATCTTTACACATTGTAGTATATTCCTGTTTATCAATGGTTCTAACATGACACTCTATTTTGTTACATAGACAACTGCACTATTGAATATCAGCAATACAAACTTAAACAAAAAACATGTTAAAATTAACAAAATCAACAGTTTTAATCTATGAATATTGACTTGGCAAGAGAATTTGCTGAGTTAGGGGAGAATATAAAAGAGCTCTTAGGATTTTGCTGGCTGCTTATGTCTAGGGAATATGGGTGCATTCTCGATTTTCTACTTGGTCATTCCTATTCTTTTTGTCAGGGAATTGCTCCATCTGCAGTTAAATCTTACATATATATGTATACATAATTACTGTCTTAGGATAGAGTCTTACAGATAGAATTACAAATAGAATTAGTGGTTCAAAGGGGAACAATAAGGTGTTTGTATATCAACAGAAATACCTGCATTCATCCAATTAAAAATACACCTTGTACAAGTCCTAGGTGATCATATAGTCACAAGAGGACTTTTTTCACGTGGTGCTTACAGACCCTTCTGTAAGGATCAAATGACCTTCTACAGGGTGGCCTGTTTTCCTCTTGGTGGTTGTTTCTAGACTGGTAAATGGCTCCTGGAGATTTAGTCTGTCTTTCAGTCCTGATTCCTCAGACCTCTGCTCTTTTGGAAGAGAAGCAGAAAATGACCAAGTCTCACGTGAGTTGCTTGCTTATTTTGTACTTGGTTTCCATGTAATCAAATGGAAAAGTGCAGAAAGCTAGAAATTAGAATTAGGGAAAATGTAGAGAGAACAAAGACTTGGAGACAAGTTGCTATGTAATATGTAGATTATGTGGTTTTATGCCACATAAAACAACTGTTATAGTTCAGATATATATATTATATGTAAATTTTATATAAACATAATGTACATTATACTTACATTATGCTTATTTTACATAAGTGTGTAAAAGTGCAAATTTGAAAAAAAAATAAAGTGCAAATTTGTTCTATCTTTTCTAGCAGCCACAGGGGAGCGGTAGAGGACATCATATACATGATTTGGCATTCTCCACAAATAGAAATCAACTGAATTTTCAATGAAAATATTTCTTGACATTAGGACAAAAAGAAATTCATTTTGGGGGATCTTCTATAGATGATGTCCTGACCTCTACTTCTGCATAAATATGTCAGATTTTTTGTGGTTGTGTCTTTAAATATTTTTTTTAGAAGGCAGTTAGCATAATGTTAGAGCTGAACTCCATAAGCATTATTCTTTGGGGAACTAAGGTATAGTTTATCCAGAGATAAAACCTAGATAAGATGGAATGATGAGTATCTATTTGTCTCCAAAGTAATTATTTCTCTCAGATAGCCAGTTCTTTACTTAAAATTCGTGGCAAACACTTGGGAGCACAGGGGTCTCTGATTCTCCATAGCCTTTGCTATGGTCTCAGGGTTTGTGAGGCAACTCCCCAACTGAATGCTGGTTTTTGGTCCAATTTTTTCAATTTATAATTCAGACCAGGACTATTTTTTGTCCTGGCCTGAATTATCCCTACTTGGTAAAAACATTTTAAAAAACATAAAAAATAAAAATTATGAAGTGAAAGGGACCCTAACATTCCCTTTCTCCTGGGATAACCACTATTAATAATTTGTGATGCTTAGATTTTTCTCCATCTGGAAATTATTCATTCTTTTGTTTTTAAAACATAAAGTCTCAACTTTATTATTTAACTAATTGACTATCCAGTTTTCCCAAAACCATTTGTTGAATAATTCATTTATTTGAAATGCTGCCTTTAAAAGAATTGCCATTTGTGATTAAGTCTCTTTTGCTCTTCTGTTCTTTTGATGTGTTTGACTCTTTTTGCTAAAGACAGAATTTTACATCATTTTTCTGAATAGGCATGATGTAGAACTGGGCATATGGTTTGGCATGCTATGGTAAAAATAAGACTGATCACTTCAGATTGAACAGGAGCATGCTGTTATAGGGTCCATTGTCATTTGAGGATGTGGCTATAGCTTTCACCAAGGAGGAGTGGCAGCAACTGGACCCTGCGCAGAGGACCCTGTACAGAGATGTGATGCTGGAGAACTTCAGCCACCTGGTCTCATTGGGTAAGGATGGCTTCCCCCCATATCACAACATCTTCCAATCCAGTGCCTCTCTCTTCTCCTTTGATCAAGTTGGGTGGGTTCCTGACATATGTAATGACTGACTTTGTGCTCTCTTTTCTCTTTCCAGCAGAAGGTCAGTGCTCTGCTAAGAACAGCCTGGACAGCTTTACTTTGGGGCTCCTAAAATAGCACCCCCTTTTTTTTTTTTTAAGTAGGGCTTGAGTCACGACCCTGAGATCAAGAGCTGAGCTGAGATCAAGAGTCGGACACTTGACCGACTGAGCCACCCAGGTGCCTTTCTTTTTTCTTCAGTGTAGTCAACCCAATTCCTCTCTGATTTCTCTATAATAGGGCATCCAGTGTCCAAACCAGATATCATCTCCAGGTTGGAACAAGGAGAAGAACCATGGATCATAAAGAGAGACATATCAGATTGGATCTGTCCAGGTAAAAATCTGGCAGGTGGGAGCCAAGGGAAGTGAAATCTCAGTTTCTTTGTTTTTGTTTTTAATTGGCTGGTGGCTGAGATTTATGCTTCCACCCAGATTGGCAGCTCCTCTTCCTTCTTGCTCCTATTCCTTTTTGCTCCTGTGCTAAACATGTAAGTATTCAACAACTTGTTAATTAGGTAATAGTGAGCCGTGAAGAGAAGAAAAATTTCTTACTGATTCACTCATATCTTTGTAGACATGATTCACAATCCTATCTTTAGTGCCTTTCTAGAAGAAATTCAAAGGCACTAGAAGTCAGATGCTTTTCAGAACCATAGGTTGTACATGGAAAGACAAGTCATCAAAGTTCATGGCTGTATAAAATTGCACGACCAATATAGTTAACGTTTTAGGAGTTCACTGAAAATTCTAGTCTAAAGAGACGTGGCATAACTTAAGAAGGCATTTTTTCCAAGCAAGAACCAGCCACTCTGAAGTATATTTGAAGTGTGGGTTAGGCAGGAGGAGGGTGAAGGCAAGCTCTAGCAATGGATGTGTACAGATTTTTGGAGTTAGGAATCATTATGGCTTTTCTGCAGAAATTTGCTAGGCTTGCCTTCACAAAATATTTTTATTGGGGAATAATAGGATATAAGCATGGATACACAGTGTGGCTGTGGACAGTAAAGTGCATACTGTAGCTGTTCTCTGAAATTTTGTTATTATTGTATTTAAACAACTTCGAGATACAACTCACATGCCTTACAATTCACCCATTCAAAGTTAACAATTCACTGGTTTTTTAGTGTATTCACAGATATATATAACGATTCCCACAGTCAATTTTAAAACATTTTTATCATCTACGAAAGAAATCCTGTACCCTTTAGCACTCACACCCCTGTTCCCCATCTCCCAGCCCTAAGCAACCACTAATCTGCTTTCACTCTCTATTGATTTGCCTACTCTTGATATTTTATTTAAATGAAATAATATAATATGAGGTCTTTTGTGGCTGGCTTCTTTCAGTTAGCACACTGTTTTTGAGGGTTATCCACCTTATAACATGTATCAGTACTTCGTTTCTTTTTTGGCTGAGTAATATTCCATTGTATTGATATACTACATTTCGTTATCCATTCATCAGTTAATGGATATTTGGCTTGTTTCCACCTTTTCACAACATGAATAATGCTACTATAAACATTCATGTACAAGTTTTTGTGTAGACATATGTTTTATTTTTTCTTTGGTATGTACCTAGGAGTGGAATTGCTGGGTCATATAGGAACTTTCTGTTTAACTAAAATGGTCCCTAATGACTAATTATGTTGTGCATATTTTCATCTGCTTGTTGGCCATTATGTATCTTCTTCGGAAAATACTTTGTTGAGATCCTTTGTCTATTTTGAGTTATTTGTCTTTTTATTATTGAATTGTAAGAATTCTTTATAGAGATAAAATTCTTCTACAGAACTTACATGGAACTTTTATGTAAAGTTCTTTGTATAGATAAAGTTTTTTATAGAGTTCTTTTGTTCACTGGTACTAATTTTATTATTAATTAGGACAGGCTAGATACACTATATTACAGATTAACCTCTAGATGCCAGTGCTTTAACACAACAAGCATTTGTTTTCTTTACATGTTGCATATCCAACACAGTTTAGCAGGGAGCATGCTCCACGTGGTATCTCAGGAATCCAAATTGAGTGAAGTTAACACCATCTGCAGTCCAGCTTGTCACTGATACAGGGGAAGAGAAATCTGGAGGACTCACATGCTCTTCTGTGCTTTACCTAGATTGCCAGTTTACTCCAAAAGGATATAACCCAGGAACATCCAGCTGGAGGGGATACATAGGGCAGGGCATGGGGAAAGGGCGCAGAGCTTCACGCCCTCTCCAGGTGCACCACTCTCCCGGCACACCTCCATGTGTTCACCAACCTGGGAGCTCCTAGAGTTCTTGTTTGATGTAGGTCTCTTAACCAGGCATATGATTTGCAAATACTTCCATCCTGCGGGTTGTCTTTTCACTCTCTTGATAGTAACCTTTGAAGCACAAGATTTTGTAATTTTGATGAAGTCCAGTTTTTCTATTTTTCTTTTGTTACTTGTACTGTTGGTATCATATCCAAGAATCTATAGCCAAATCCAGGGTCATGAAGATTTACCCCAAGTTTTTTTTCTAAAAGTTTTATACTGTTAATGCTCTTACATTTGGGTCTTTGATCCATTTTGAGTTAATTTTTGCACATGGTGTGACGTTAAGGGTCCAACCTCATTCTTTTGCATGTGGCAGTCCATGTGTTCCAGCACCATTTATTTACTTATTTAATCATTTATTTTTATTTTGATTATGACATGTATTTTTGTTTATTTTTATTCTAATACCTATATAGTCAAATACAGTGTTGTATTAGTTTCAGGTATAGAATATAGCGATTCACCAATTCCTTGTATTACTCAGTGCTCATCAAGATAAGTGTACTTTTTTTTTTTTAAAGATTTTATTTATTTATTTATTTGAGAGAGACAGAGAGAGAGCACATGAGAGGGGGGAGGGTCAGAGGGAGAAGCAGACTCCCTGCTGAGCAGGGAGCCCGATGCGGGACTCGATCCCGGGACTCCAGGATCATGACCTGAGCCGAAGGCAGTCGTTTAACCAACTGGGAGCCACCCAGGCACCCAAGATAAGTGTACTCCAAATCCCCTTCATCTGTTTCACCCATCCCCTCACCCACTCCCCTCTGGTAAACCTCTATAGTTGTTTGTTCTCTGTAGTTGAGTCTGTTTTTTGGTTTGTCTCTTTTTTTGTTTGTTTTTTCCTTTGTTCTTTAGTTTCTTAAATTCTACATAGGAGTGAAATCAAATGGTATTTCTCTGACTGCCTTATTTCATTTAGTAGTATACTCTCTAGATCCATACATGTTGTTGCAAATGGCAAGATTTTAGTCTTTCTTATGGCTGAATAATATTCCATTGTATATATATATATACCACATCTTCTTTATACGTGCATCTGTTGATGGACACTTCCATAATTTGACTATTGTAAATGATGCTGCAATAAACATAGGGGTGCATGTATCCCTTTGAATTAGTGTTTTTGTATTCTTTGGGTAAATACCCAGTATGTGCTTACTGGATCATAAGGTAGTTCCATTTTTAATTTTTTGAGGAACCCGCATAACGTCTTCCACAGTGGCTGCACCAGTTTGCATTCCCACCAACAGTGCACAGGTGTTCCTTTTTCTCCACATCCTCACCAACACTTGTTGTTTCCTGAGCTTTTGATTTCCTGACAGGTGTGAGGTGATATCTCATTGTGGTTTAGATTTGCATTTCCCTGATGATGAATGATGTTGAGCATGTTTTCCAGTATCTCTTGGCCATCTGGATGTCTTCTTTGGTGATATGTCTGTTCATGTCTTTTGCCCATTTTTAATTGGATTATTTGATTTTTGGGTGTTGAGTTGTATAAGTTTTTTAAATATATTTTGGATACTAACCCTTTATCAGATATATCATTTGCAAATATCTTCTCCCATTCCGTAGGTTGTCTTTTAGTTTTGGTGGTTGTTTTCTTTGCTGTGCAGAAGCTTTTTATTTTGATGCAGTCCCAGCAGTTTATTTTTGCTTTTTGTTTCCTTTGCCTCAGGAGACACATCTAAAAAGGTGTTGTTACAGCTGGTGTCAGAGAAATTACTGCCTGTACTCTCTTCTAGGATTTTTATGGTTTCAAGTCTTACATTTAGGTCGTTAATCCATTTTGAGTTTATTTTTGTGTAAGAAAGTGGTCCATTTTCATTCTTTTGTATGTAGCTGTGCAGTTTTCCCATTGCATATTCTTGTCTCCTTTGTTGAAGATTAATTGACCATAGAATTGTGGGTTTATATCTGGGTTCTCTATTCCGTTCTTAAGATCCACTCGTCTGTTTTTGTGCCAGTACCATACTGTTTTGATTACTACAGTTTTGTAATATAACTTGAAGTCTGGAATTGTGATGCCTCCAGTTTTGTTTTTCTTTTTCAAGATTTCTTTGGCTATTCTGGATCTTTTGTGGTTCCATACAAATTTTGGGATTGTTTGTTTAAGTTCTGTGAAAAATGCTGTTGGCATTTTTTTTTAAAAGATTTTATTTATTTATTCATGAGAGACAGAGAGAGAGAGAGAGAGAGAAAGAGAGAGAGGGAGGCAGAGGGAGAAGCAGGCTCCCAAGGAGCAGGGAGCCGGATGCGGGACTCGATCCCAGGACCCTGGGATCATGACCTGAGCCAAAGGCAGACGCTTAACCATCTGAGCCACCCAGGCACCCCCGCTGTTGGCATTTTGATAGGGATTGCCTTAAATGTGTGGATTTCTTTGGGTAGTATAGACATTTTAAACAATATTTGTTCTAATCAATGAACATGGAATGTCTTTGTGTCATCTTTAATTTCTTTCATCAGTGTTTTATAGGTTTCAGAATATAGGTCTTTCACCTCTTTGGTTAAGTTTATTCCTAGATATTTTATTATTTTTGGTACAGTTGTAAATGAGATTGTTTTCTTAATTTTTTTTTAGCTGCTTCATTATTAATGTGTAGAAATGCAGTGAATTTCTGTACATTGATGTTGTATCCTGTGACCTTATTGAATTCATATATCAGTTCCAGCAGTTTTTTGGTGGAGTCTTTAGGGTTTTCTATAAGATAGTATCATGTCGTCTGTAAATAGTGCAGGTCTTACTTCTTCCTTACCAATTTGGATGCCTTTTATTTCTTTTTGTCAGATTGCTGTGGCTAGGACTTCCAGTACTATGTTGAATAAAAGCGGATATCCTTTTTTTTTTTTTTATTTATTTGACAGAGACACAGCGAGAGAGGGAACACAAGCAGGGGGAGTGGGAGAGGGAGAAGCAGGCTTCCCGTGGAGCGGGGAGCCCGATGCAGAGCTCAATCCCAGGACCCTGGGACCATGACCTGAGCTGAAGGCAGATGCTTAACCACTGAGCCACCCAGGCGCCCCTAAAG